AACCAAAATATTAAATCAGCTTGGGTGGCTCAGATGGAATGTCTGGAGGGAGAAGAAAGATTGGGTGATCCTTCTGCCCGTCAGGACCTGTAAGAGCCTACTACCAGACTTCCCTGTGGGAAGGGAAGGTGAATGCTCTTGAAGATTCTACCGGGGCTAGAAATCATCTTTTGTTTAAAGCAAGGCTAACAACGAAGGCTGAAATGCTTGCCAGTGACTTGATGTGTGGGCTGTCCTGCCCTGTGTGTGGCTGCTGTGTTGTTTCTGTACGCTGCTGTGTGCCTGAGGGCTCAGTTGCAGTGTCCAGGTTGTAGAATAGGTCATTCTGGGTACAACCCTGTTTACCCAAAAGAAATTAATCCCAATCCTTTAAATTCCCTTTGGTCCTCTGATGGTTTTAGTCCTTTGCCCACGTCTTTGTCTATGTACTGGTTTTGGTCAGTAAAGTAAGTAAGAAGTAAAAGTGAGAGAACTTGTGGGTTGAGATAAAGCAAAAACTGTGTACACGAGCAAATCAGTACTTCCCATCGGGACGCAGGTGTTCAGCCATCGCCATGAGAATGGGCCACCACACATCATGGTTACTTGGGAAGACAGACACCATTGGGCCAAATGTCCCCCCTTCCTCCTTCTTCCCCCAGCTCTATATGCTAAGCATGACATCAGATGGCATGGCATGTCCCTTTGGTCAGTCAGGGTCAGCTGTCCCACCTCTGTCCCTGCCCAACTTCCTGTGCACCCAAACCTGTTTGCTGGTGGGTTGGTGTGAGAAGTAGAAAAAGCCTTGACTCCATGTAAGCACTGCTCAGCAATAATGAAAACATCCTTGTATTACTGTTACTGTTTTAAGATAGCTCTCTAAATGCAGACAATGAGACTATACTTAGGAAGGAGACGTTTATTGCAGGTTTGTGCAAAGCTGGGTGCTTGGTGCCTTCCCACAAATCATGCACACCAAAGGAGATTTTTCATGACATGTTTATACACAAAACTATAAGAGTCAGTAAGTTTCAAAGTCCATTCTCCTTATAGTGACTGGTTAGCGATTAACATAGTTATCATATGGTTACATCAGTATTTCTGCTGTGCTCAGGGGAAGTCTTTGCCTGGACAGGGCATGTGATTTTTAATCTTAAAATGGCATTATAATGAGCTAAGTTCACATAAAGGATGCAATATCACAAGTCCTTCAGCTTCAACTGTCCAAGACTGGTTTAGCTGTCATTCTTCTTGATTTTGTTTCTTCTTTATCACCTCCTGCATTTGTTAGGTCCAATTATCTGTAGAGACCTCAAGTCTTCTCTGCCAAGTTGGTGATTTCCAGGAGACACTCTCTAAATCTCTTGATTAATTGCCTTCTTCAAGGCCTAGTTACTGCAGGATGTCCTTGCTCAGTGCTGTGGTACTAATTGTGTGCCTCTCTGACTGCAATTTGAATAAGTCTTTATATACAGAGTGCATCTTACACAAAATAACCACATCATTCTAAATTTTTTAGTTATTTTCAAACATTATCAACACAGTTTTCAGGACAAAACCAAAACACAGCCCCATGCCAGCTACTGTGAAGAAAACTAACTCCAACCTAGCAAAACCCAGTCCAGTCTACCTCTGTCCTGGTTTGGGCCCAACACAACAATAAAGAACCAGCCACACAGCTGCTCATTCACCTCCCCCCCCAAAAAAAGACACACACAGTGAGATGGGGGAGACAAAGGCCAACTAGAAGCTCATGGTTCGGGACAGAGGACAAGGAAGGTTCACTTACCATTTACAGTTCCAGATGAAACAGACTCAACTTGGGGAAAAATACCAACTTAATTCAAGCCTAATCAAACACACACAGGACACAGGCAACACACAGAGCAGTGCTTGCTTAGGTATGTGAGCATTGTGTTTTACTGTTGCCTGTGCTAGATGACAAAGGCCTCGTGGTCCATACGTGTGTTTGTTTATGGGTCTGTTTGGGACTGCAAGTCCAGCATGTGTGTATTTCCGATGAATTGTGTTCTTACTTGACTGCAGGTCTGATGATATCAGTCTCTTGTTTCACCCTTGGCCTGCCCTTTTGCCCTTATAGAATAGCTGATAAGCTGATCCTAATGGAAACCCTTATGATGTACTTCTGATGCAGAAGTGATTCAGGTGCTCTCCAGGGGAAATTATTTTAATCTGAATCCGTGTGCAAAATGTACCACAGAAATGTGGTTATTGAACACCCTCTGTTCACAAAACCTCCTGAGTTTGCTGGAGGGAAGGGAGGAACATCAATACCATGAATTGAAAGATGCCCATAGTAAAATTGCTTGCTTCAGCTGCTCTTTGCAGATGCCCTGTGATTGTCGACCATAGATTGTAACTCCTGTTGTGCGAGTGTGCGGTACTTACATCTTGGTTTGCGGTTGTTTTCCATGGTGACATAAGGGATGTTTGTGCCTGCAGTTCTCTTGCTGGAGTAAAGATAGCACCTTCAGGGGAAGCTGCCATCAGAGGAGCCCCAGCTCCTCCCCATCAGCCAGATAATCTTATTGTCTGCCCAGATGCAAAATATGTTAGTAATGACTGAATATAAGACCTTCATCCAGGCGTAAATTACTGGGAAAGTTTTCTATTTTTGATGTTGGTCTTGCAGTAAAGACTTCATTCTTTCAGATGAATGAAGGGAGAAAATGTGATGACAATGGGGACTTTTTAAATTTTCTTGGGGTGATTTTGGGCTGAGTCTTTTGAGTTGACTTGGGTTAATTTTGTTGTTATTTTGTTTTATTGTTTTGGTTTTTTTAGACCCTACTTTTGTTGTTTCCAGAAATCTGTCTATGATACCCTCCACTGTCTTCAGTTTGCAGCTTCTTATTCTCTCACTTGTGTTTTCCAACTAAGACTGACTGAGTTTCCAGGTGAAAAGTATGTTGCTGCTGCTTTTCCCTGAGCACACCAAAAGCTCCCTGTGCAGGACATTTATTTCCTGAAATAGCGTTTCTGCAGATAGGGAGCAGTTTCATTTATCTAAATTGCTCACTAAAGCCTTATCTGCTAATTTTGCAGTGTCAGTACTTTGGCATGTTGTCTTGGATTTATCAAGAGAAGAGAAGCTGTTTGTTGACAGCTTTGCTCTGGTTACATTTTAAGTAGACATCTCCCTGGAGATCACGTGTAGATGTCACATTACAGATTAGCATTTGGTGTGGGGTACCAGAGCAAAGGAAGAGATGTCTCAGTTCAGTCTCTGAAAAAGAGAAAAAATAATTCCTGAGCTCTGACAGCTTTACTTGAACAATATCTTATTTAGTGTTTCTTGTTCCTGGTTCCAGCTTGGGGCTCCACCATGCTAAGTGCTTTTGCAACCCAGACATTTGAAGAGCCTGAAAAGTGGGTTGATGTGCTCTGGTTGTGCCTGGAGAAGTTCAGACTTGACTCTGAACTTTCTCAGCAAGTGTGGGTTTTTTTCTGTAGGACTGAAATCCTGGTGTATGAAAAAGTCCCCCAGGTAAGCTCTGTTTGGGTGCAGAAGGAGTTGGGCCTCAGGCAGGACAGCTTGCTGGAAAGCTCCATCCTCCTTAGTTGCTTACCTGAGTTATCCTTAGTGGGAAGGTGGTGATGGCAGAGTTACCTCTTAAGTGTGAGGCAAGAGGAAACTGCAAAGTTGTGTTAACTCTGAGCAAATAAGACAAAACATTTTAACAAAAATACACACTTTTCTCATCGAAGAGAGCTAAATTATACCATGATTGTTCAGCAGCTAAATGTCAGCTGCCCTTCAGTAATCTCTCCTTCCTTTTTCCACGAACCCTTTCCAGCAATGGAAATAGGCAGTAGTGCTAATGTGGGGGTGGTTGTGGAAAGCTGATTTTGAGAGTAGAGAGCTGTGATCATTTGGCATTAGCCCAAGCAAAACTTTGTCTGTTTTTTGTTTGTTTGTTTGTTTTTTGTTTTTTCCCCAGAGCTGTGGGCTTTTGGTGTGTGTTTAGGGATTGGGGTGTCTTTTTCACTGTGCTGAAAAACTATTTCTGAGAGCCTTGGCTTTAGCCTAGGTCTACTAAAGATGTTGAGATCTTGAAGGTTTTGGGGCATGATTGAAATATTTCCATCCCAGTTCTGTCTGTGCACTCATATTTCTTGTAGAAATGCTTTAAAAAGAATCTTTGGACTCTCTATTTGATAGTGTCAACTAGCTGACAGTGTTCAAACTCTTTCAGCACCCTTTTTAGTGTGGAGCAGGTTTACTGTGTCAGCTCCAAAAAAATGCAAAATGGGAGATTAATAATTTCATGTCTCATGGAAAAATTGATCTCTGCTTTCAGCTGCTGGCAGTTCCTGACACCAAGCACTGGTTGCTCACTGGCGCGCCACCTTTTTTCCTGCTGGAGACTGTGTGCAAGAAAGCAAAGGAAGCTGTGTTGCCTGAAGGGTTTACATGCATTTTAGTTCTTGATTGTGATGATAGTTGAGGGTCTCAGCATTTCTGCCCACAAGAGGTTAATTAGCTAGATCATTAGATGTGCACATTATACGTACGTGTGTGTGTATATATATAGACACACATGCATATGAGCATGTGTGTGGTAATTATTCTGAGACAATAAAGTGTATTTTGAGAATAATTGCCTGACTAGCTGCTGTGTGATCCTTCAGATTTCTGGGTTGGTTGGGGGATGCGGGTTGGTGTCGTTGGTTTAGATTATTTTCTATCTTACTCTTCTGAATCAGAATACTTGAGAGAAATAAGAAATCAAGTGCTCGGGCTATTGTTCCAGACTCGGGTCTGTACTCATAGAGAATGATTCTGCAGATAAGAAATGTCATAACATTTTATAACTTAGAAAGATTTGCCTTCCAGGGCGTTGACGAGTATGCACTTTCTTAACTGGACGGGAGAGAATGTCTGCTCCAGTCTGCACCCAAGATCACATGTAATTTTGTCAGCCTCATTACACATAGTTCCTCAATAAATGTGAATATATGAAAAAAAAAAAAATTGCTGATAGTGACTTAAATGGGAAATGCGGTCAGGCTACTTTTTGGACACACACACATGTGTGTCTATGAAGTCCTGAAGTCTATGAAATCAGCAGAAGTGTTCTTGTTACAGAGTGTTATGAAATGTAATCAGTGGGGAGTTTCTATTCCCTTTTTCTAAGCTGCACAGGCAGAAGTTTGGCTACTTCTGCTTCTCTCAAACATCTGAGACTACCTAAACTGTTGAAACTTAGTTTTATTTAAAGAGTACATGACTGGGTTTTCAAATAAACCAAGTATTCAGATCTTTCTTTCTCTTTTTCCTTCTTTTTGTCCCCCTCTTTTATACAGGCGATACGGATTGTGGTTTCGATTGCGGAAGATAATAATCTGGTTGCTGGGAGTGTACATAGCCATTCCATTTCTAGTCAAACTTTGCCCTGCTATTCAGGCAAAGCTGGTCTTCCTAAACTTTGGTAAGTGAGAAATCTGTTGGCCTGGGTGAGGGGGAAGAGTGTCTTCCTTTCATTTGTCTGCTTCACTTTCACCTTGCATGTGTACAGCTTGTGAAAGATATGAGCTTTCAGAGTTTTTCAGTTCTCTGGAGTATTGTTTGGAAAGCATTCTCTGTGGCACTAGTGGTCTTTGTACTATGTCTTTATATAAATACAGTGACCAAATTGAAGTCGACTTTCCTGAAGGGTCTCCTTCAGGAAAAATGGGCACTGTCAAATGCATTTTTCTGAAGGGTTTAACAAAGTTGCACGAATAGACAGCAAGCAAGTGAAACTAAATCTTGTGAGTTTTCTTCCAGGTGACAGCTCTTCACCTGAAAGCATTTTAGTTCTGTGGTGACAGTGCAGTGTCCCAGCTGGTCTCTGCTGGCATGCATGATTTGTCTGTCACTTTTTCACGTGCTTTTGCCTAAGAGCAAGCAGACATACCACAGGCATAGATTTGCAGTTTTAAGGGGCTAGATTTGTCAGGTTAACGTTAGCTGTTGTCTGCCTTAATTTTCATGTTTGTGGAATCTTTAGTGATGTTTTTGGGAGTAAGTAAAGTGAGATTTGACTGCCACTGTTATCATTGCATCTTTGTGTGTCAAAACCACAAAAACTTTGGTATGTTAATTGTTATGCTACTAAATTTCAAGGAGACAGTCTTCCTGTTTCTGCTGGAGTGGAGTTCAAGTTTATGGGAATAGCCTGAATCATTGGGAGAAGAGGGTCCTTAAAACTGCTTGATGCTGTCACTAGATCTCTATAGCATTTCTTGTGGTATTGAGTGTGTCAGAGACTGCCTAGAGAGCCCATACAGCATTGATGATGGAAAAAGAAACATTTAGACTAAGTGCTTCCCCTCATTTAGCACAATGCACAGTGTCTATGTTGCTTGTGTTTGAATCATTGAATATACCAAACAACGAACAACTGTGTGTTGTGGAACTTGGGGAACATAAAATATTGGGAAGGGTGAACTGAGATGTAATAATCAGGTATCTCTTCCTGAACAGGTGAAGCTTCTGGCCTAACATGATATCTTTTAAATTCTGCAGTGCCTGGGAGATATGGCAATTATTTGTTAGTGTTTGGAGAGTGGGCTAATGAACTCCCCAAAGGCTCAGGAGAAGAGTTTAACACAATTTATCTTGTTCTTACAGGACAAGAGCAATGTGGTATCTGCTACTGTAATGCAGTATCTTGTTTAGATTGTTGTATAATCAATGCTGAAACCACACGTCATCCTGAAAGGTGTTGCAGCACTGGGATGCACTGTTTGTCCCAGGGATTTTGTCCCATAAGTAACTTCCATTACAGTTACAAATAGTAAAAAGTTTGTCCAACCAGCTAACCCACTCCATTGACCCAGCAGGAGCAACAATCTTGTGTCTAGGAGATTTACAAAGCAGAGATAGTTAAATGTGTGTCTGTCTGCTTTGTTTGTCTCCCCCACTTCTTAATTTTAGCCTGCTCCCTGTATGTTGATTGCTTGTGTCTTACCTTGCTGTCTTTGATGTTCATACTTTAGTCACAGCTGTAGCCAGTTCATCCTTTCACACAAAAAAAGTAAGATTTTTGTAGTACAGAGGATCAGTTTGTACAACTCTCCAGTATCTTGATAAGGCAGTTTTGTAAGAAAATAAAGGTATAAATTAAAAGGTTTCATATTCTATTGTTTGGGTTTTTTCCTTTTTCTTGTTTTGTTTTTCAGTGAGGATCCCTTATTTCATTGACTTGAAAAGACCACAGGATCAAGGTTTAAACCACACCTGTAATTATTACCTGCAGCCAGAGGAGGATGTAACCATTGGAGTCTGGTAAGAAAGCCTGTTTTGTGCCATGCATCTCTGTCATTCTTTTTGTTCTCAGTGATGTTCCTCTAGTATTTTTGCTGTGCATGTGACAACCATTGCCTGCTCTGATTTGTGGATGTTTGTATCTTCCTCTGCCAAGTGACTGAGTTAATCTGCAGATCTCTGGAGCTCATCTGAACTCAGATCAGTAATGCATGAAACTCAACTGGATAACTTGTGCGTTCAGAGAAACTTCATAATTTGGAATTGTAAAGGTTACAGGTGCCTGCATTGCTACAAAGATCATGGCTCCATATCAGATGAGACCCAAGGAGTTATAAGTTTTGTCATTCAACTGCTGTTCATATTTTGTTTTGCAAAATAAATGTGGGAGAAGATAGGAAAGTGGGATCAAAGTGTTCAGAGTATGAGGAGGAGTATTTTGTGTGCAAAACATAAATAAGGTTTGAAGAGTGACAGTGTCAGAGCTTGCTTTTCATTCCTTCCTCACAAAGAAGGCTTTCTGGTCCCAGGCGAGGGCCATTAAGTTTGGTTCTGTGCTTTGTTTATGAACTTGCAAAAGCCCTGAGGCAGAACAGTTGAGAGAAGTAGAGTCCTACAGTTATTGGGGCTTTTTTCCTCTTCAAGAACTCAGTGTTTGCTGGCCACGTGCAAGTAGATTATTTACATTGTTTCCCCCTGTGTTGTGTTTTCCTCTGAGCTTTACAGCTGGGGGTAAGGTGTGGTAGGTGTGGAGTCTGTTTCTCCAAGAAGAAAGGCATGTAAATACTTAAGTTACTTCTGACAGCTGGCCTGCATTGCTACAAAGATCATGGCTCCATATCAGATGAGACCCAAGGAGTTATAAGTTTTGTCATTCAACTGCTGTTCATATTTTGTTTTGCAAAATAAATGTGGGAGAAGATAGGAAAGTGGGATCAAAGTGTTCAGAGTATGAGGAGGAGTATTTTGTGTGCAAAACATAAATAAGGTTTGAAGAGTGACAGTGTCAGAGCTTGCTTTTCATTCCTTCCTCACAAAGAAGGCTTTCTGGTCCCAGGCGAGGGCCATTAAGTTTGGTTCTGTGCTTTGTTTATGAACTTGCAAAAGCCCTGAGGCAGAACAGTTGAGAGAAGTAGAGTCCTACAGTTATTGGGGCTTTTTTCCTCTTCAAGAACTCAGTGTTTGCTGGCCACGTGCAAGTAGATTATTTACATTGTTTCCCCCTGTGTTGTGTTTTCCTCTGAGCTTTACAGCTGGGGGTAAGGTGTGGTAGGTGTGGAGTCTGTTTCTCCAAGAAGAAAGGCATGTAAATACTTAAGTTACTTCTGACAGCTGTTAGCTACCCACTCCCCCCCTTCTCAACAATTTGAGATGGTCGTGGGCATGTACTGGCTTTCAGTGCTTGTTTTGTAGAGTACTTATCCAGTGTAAACACCTACCTTTTCTCTTCAGTCTGTCGTTCCTCTTTTTGCTATTCCACCAGTGTTGAATTATTTCTAACAGGCTGCTCATCTATGTTATCTACAGAAAAACAGCTGTGATTTGAAAATGCCTGGCTTTTCTATCTAGTAGCTTTTCCAGCTAAAATGTTATACTTTCAAGAACCTCTTATCTGAAAACAGAATACTTCATTATCCCATCAGACCCTGAGCCTCTCTTTTTCCTTGGGTTGACTGTGGAGTCAGATATGCCTTTTACTCACTGAACACTCTTTGCTAAACCTTAGATTATTCTGAATATCAGCTGACCTCGCTGTGACTCTTGTTTATGGTGTTCTAAGTATGTTAATTGAAGTAGTTAAGTGCCATAGAAGCTGAGGAATGGAGATTCTTTCTCCAGAACTGTGGGAACTTCAGTAATTGTGCTTTGGGTATGCCTGTGAGGTTTGATGGCTTGCACAGCCCTGAGTTTTGAAGGCAATAGTGATGGAGGTGAAAATACAGAAATAACGCTTTGAGTGGCAGACACTGGGTAGCAACAGGACAATGTAGTATTTCCTTCTGTATGCAGGCACACAGTCCCTGCAGCCTTGTGGAAGAATGCCCGAGGGAAGGACCAGTTGTGGTTTGAAGATGCTTTGGGTTCCAGCCATCCTGTAATCCTTTACTTGCATGGCAACGCGGGAACAAGGTGAGGCATACGCAGTGTTGGCTTTGTTTTGTGTTGTGTTTTCCTGGCTTGCCTCAGCTTCAATACATGTATAAGAAAATGGAAACAAACTTTTCAGTAGAGCCTGTAGCGATAGGACAAGTGGTTAATGGTTTTAAACTGAAAGAGGGTATATTTAGACTATAAAAAAGGAAGAAATATTTTACAATCAAGGTGATGAAACAGTGGAACAAGTTGCCCAGAGAGTTGGTAGATGGCCCATCCCTGGAAGCATTCAAGGTCAGGTTGGGCAGGGCTCTGAGCAACGTGATCTAGTTGGAGATGTCTCTGATCACTGCAGAGAGAGTTGAACTAGGTGAACTTTAAAGATCCCTTCCAACTCAAACTATGATTCTATAACTGAAAACAAGATAAAATCTAAATGCAGTTTGGTACTTCTCCCATCTTTTAAAAGGAAAGCATGTTTTAAAAAATTATGCCTTTCCATTTATTGAATGTGGGAATAGACTTATTGCAGTTATCAGTGAGATCTGATGTTGTAGTTCACCTTGTGTGCTCGGCTAGAAGCCAGAAGGCTGTGATCAGGAAGGGAGAAGTACTTCCTTTCAGTGTAGTGATGTTTGAATCAAGACATGGCATAGTATTAGTGTTTCAGTATATGTGATTTACATGCATCAAATAAACTTTCCAGTTCCTTTTGTGAGCTTATTTTAGAAATTAACACATTTTGAGGAAGGCAAGAGGAAGTTAATGTGCTGGTCTTGTTTAGTTACTTCATGTGTTTAGGACACTTGTCGGGAACAGGAGCATTTCTAACATTTGTAATTTTGTTGTTGACCATGTGTATCACCTAAAGAAGTAGGTTGGTTTTCTGTACTTTGTTGCTGGATGCTAAAAGCCATTAGCATAGTGTGAAACTTTCTGGATGTTTCTCAGAATTATGTTCTTACTTCCACATTTTTGCATGATAATGTGCTTTAGTTTGTTTATTGGAACAGTCTTTTTCCTTACTTAATATGCATCTTACAAAGAGTATCAGCTCCTTTCTGAGTTTTGAGTGCCAGTGCTTGTTCTTTTGAAGCTGAATGCCTGCTCACAGATACTCTGCAAGAGCAGGAGGATTGCAGAAATACAAGTTTCATGATATCAAGAAAATCTGTTATAATTGTGCTGATAGTGAAGGTTCACTAGACTTTACATCACAGGAACTTTGCCCCTTTTTTACCTAAGTTATTGTCTTAGCAGTGTACTTTTTTGGTGCAAGGGCTTGGTGTGGGAGATGCATGCTGGGAGCCAGGAAACACATGAGGATATGGGTTTTTAGAAACTGACCTGGTCTTCTTGTGCTGATGTATTACAAAGTTTAATCAAATTGTTGCATTATTTTTCAAATACTGCTTCACTTGTTTTTCTTCCCTTCATTTGATTTGGCAAATGATACTAATGGAAGCTGTTCTGCAGCTTAATGGTGGCAATTTGGGACCAGTATCTCTGTTATGTGCATATTGATTAGATTTACTACTTGGCTCCCCCAAGAGCTGCTGAGATAAATTACTGAGCTACGGATCAATTACATACTTCACATTGCACTTTACTCTGTGTATTGCAGAAGCTAGAGGAGTATTGGCTTTGCTATTTCAGCTTTTAATATATATTGTTGTATGTTTCTACACTGCCCATTCAGTGTCTTGTCAAAGGGCTGCTTTTATTGATGCAGGCTGCATTAGCCATAAGTAAAAGGCACTGCCTTGGATTTCTGGTTTGCCTGAGTGGTCTGGACCTGAGGCAAAAATGTTATATTTACTTGATCCCCTTGGAAAACATTCCTCTGTTGCATTTTGAGGAATGCATGAAAAGGCCCCAGTGTATGCATGTCAAGGATGACTTTTCAACGAGTATTTCTTCTTCAGACCTGTATATTCAAAATCAATTAAAGCAACATCTTGCATTTTGCCCTGAGTTTTTTGGCTGCACTAGGTATTTTGCAGTACAATTGGAACTGACCACTTTTGGCCAGCAAGTGGATGTTTTCTTAGAGGGAAGCCTGGAAAGTGGCATTTTGGTTTAGAAGCTGCACAGATCAAACCAATCATAGTGTGAACATTTTAGAGTTTTCATATGATTGCAGAAGTAAATCTCCTCTTACATAAATCCTATACTAAAGTTTGAGTGTGGATTAGCCATGTCATGTTGTGGATATATTTTAAAGCATGTAATGGCAGATTCACTCTCCTTTTCGCTTTATTGTCTTGATTTCAATTTATGAAAAAAACATTAAAGCAGGTTCTTCCCCTGGACTTATTTGCAGTGTGCAACTCTGGTTTTCTCTGCTCAGTCTTTTGCACATGTCCTTTCTATCCCTGTGCTTGGAACAAGGTGAATAAATCCAGAGCCCAGCTGCTTGGGTTAATGTAGGTTCTGCTGAGAGCATCACATCTTGGAGAGCAGCAGTTACTGACTCAGGCAGCACTGGTGGCAGGAGCACAGGGTCTGCCAAGCCCACAAGGACAGGCTGTTTTGGATGTATTACAGGCTTTGGAAAAGGCAGATAGGAGGATAGATTGAAAAGTTCATCTTTGCTTGCTGTGATAAGACATTAATAGGAAGAAGTTGACTTCAAAGCTGTATCTTGCATAGCTCAGCAAAGCTTTGCTCTCTCTCCTAGAAGTCTGTGACAAAGCAGTTACATTGTTTGTTAATGTTTGTGTTAAACTGGAAGCCTGAGGCAGTTGGGAAAGTCTGTTTCTGGAAGCTTACATGCTCACATGTGGTTTTTTTGTTTGTTTGTTTGTTTTTTTCTCCTCTTCATGAATCACTCTTGCCAGAGGAGGGGATCACCGTGTGGAACTTTACAAGGTAAGTGGCTGCTCGTGTTGTCCAAGCAGTTGCATTAATACATCAGATGTGCACAGACTTGAGAAGACAGCTCATTACAGTGCACTGCCAACAGGCAGATAGTTTTGGGCTTATAGTTGCCTCTACATATAAAGCATGTATAGGAAAAGGGGTCTGTAAGCTGTGAGCACACCTTCTCCTAAAAGCCCTTTCAAAGAGCTTTTAATACTTACTGTTATTAACTGTCAGCTCCAACTGAGCTAACCAGGTTCTTTGCCAGGAATACTTTCCCAACACAGTTTATAGGAAAAAAATGTTTTATTTAATCACAGCCTTAATTTGATTGATTATACTAGCATACTAATGTAAGGTAACCATTTCAGAGTATTCTTTCACTAGGTACCAGTCTCAATATACTCAACATCCTAGATTAGAATGTTTTCAGTTGGAGGAGCCTACAATGATTGTCCAGTCCAACTGCCTGACTACTTCAGGGTTGGGAAAAAGTTAAACCATACTAGGGACATTGTCCAAATGACTCTTTAACACTTAAATGCTTTCTTCTTTTGAGCTCCATAAGGAGTTTCCTGTTCAGCCAAGCTGGCCTTCTGCTCTGCTTGCTTGAATTAGAACACAACGGGATTGCCTGTTCCTGTGCTTCTAAATGATTCTGATGACTCTGATATTTAATACCTCTACTGTAAAGGGCCTTTGCCCTGGCAATGCACACAGTGCACTCCAGGTGCAGGAAGGGCCAATGCAATATAATATGTTAGTCTTGAGGGACAGGGGGGGATGGGGTGTGAGGATGCCAGCAAGCAGCAGGGGAAACTGTGTGATACGTATATGGAGTTATGGGCTTTCTGTCTTCAGATGACCCTGTAGATCCTAGTGGGACAATGGAAATTATCTCTCCATTTCCAATCAGGCACCAGTTGTCTGTGTAAGCTCCAGTTGTACTTGTATTCCTACTGTGTGTCCCCAGATTGTTGTAAATCATCTGTTTATAACTCTTTCTGATATCTGTGTATGTAACCTGTTAAGGTTAGAATTTTAGTGTTCCTTAGAAGAAACACTCAGCTTACAGGTATCATTTCAGTTGCATGGTACTATAGACCCTGTACCACTAATTATTATTATAATACTGATGTGTTATTTAAAACGTTGCAACAAATGCTAAGCCAGCTGTTAGTGCTGGAAGTCCAGCTGGTGGTGCAGTGAGCCCTGAAGGTGGCAAATGTTGTGCACCAGGCAGACACCTGATCTGCCACAGTGCTGTGCAGTCCAGACCATCCAGCACTGCTCCTGCCTGCAGTCCCTCAGAGAAGGGTGTCCTGCCACTTACAGGAGTTTTGAACATGGCTTTGCATCCTGTACTTGTTGTCTTAATAGCACTTTTACCTGTTGTGCAATCTGTGTTGGCTATAAAATCAAACAGCAACCAAGTAACATCAGCACATTACAAATCAGAGCCACGTGCTGCCCTCAGCCCTGTGCAGGCTGTGCTGAGGCCTTCTGAAAGGGTAAATGCCTCTGAGAAAACCCACTGCTTGGTCATGGTGGGAAGCCTTGAGCCACAGGAGGGGTTGTGGCATCCTTGGTAGATGTGTGAGCGTTAGCCTGCAGCTGGTGGGCTGTCAGAAAGGGAAACTGCAGCCTTGCAACCCAGTGCATGTGGTATTTCCATGCTAGGAACATGGCCGAGGGTTATAAGGCTTCTTCTGACCGTGCCTTGGAGCCCTCTGGAGTACTGTTTTGAGCTTGTTTAGCCATAAAAGCAATTGTCTAACAACCAGGTGGCCACTGGCTAGCTTGTTTTGCTTTTGCTAAGCTTGTATCATTACATGTCATGGCTGTACCTGTAACACGACTAGTAACAATTCTCATACAGATGGTATTGCAGAGAAAATCGCTGTCATGTTTTTATGTACGAGCTACAACTGCAGTTACTCTGTGTCAGGTGGAACACTGGTGATACAGTGTAGAGGAGTTGCAGGCCTGGTGTGACAGCAGGGACCTCCAGAGGTGGGAACACAGAGGGCATGGCAGAAGAGGGAGTGCAGGTCTTGCAGGTGTGAGTGTGCATGGGGTGGCACAGGCTGACCCCAGAGACCCCTGGGCTGTGCACAGCCTGCCAGTGGCCAGCTAAAGAGATGCAGGCCTGGGAGCTGGGCAGAAATGTGTTTAGAGGTCACAAAGAGAATGTGTCCAATGTATTTTGAACACTCCCCATACAGTAATTTGGGATGTAACATGGAATCATAGGCCAGTGAAGAGAAACAAACACCCAGTGAATGCCTGAAATGCATTAAAATTAGCTCCAAATGGATTCTAGAGGGAAGTGAGAGAAACCATTAACATCATAGTCCTCCCAGCAATGGAGCTGAGCTGCCAGCTTACCTAAACACCCCTCTTTTCTAAGTTGTCCTTTTTCTCTTTTTTTGTGTGCTAACGAGATCTGAACAGTAATTTTTCAGGCTCTAGAGATTTCAATTACACTAAAAATAAAATGTTGGGTTTACATATGAGGTGATTTCCTTTAGTCTGTTAGAAGGTTTAGAGTACAGTGTAACAGGTTGCTTTTTAAAGTCATGTATCATACATGGATGATGAGAGCAACATCATCTTTATCTTTCTGTGACGTTTTGTTGATTTTTATCTACTTTGGAGCTGTTAGGTTCATACTGAGCAATGATAGCCTGGAGTATTAGCCAAGGCACTTTTCCAAGCAAGTTAATATAACATTGGGGATTTTTTCGTGCTTTTAACAGATTTTGTTAGGATTACCATTGGCTGCAACATAAATCTTTATGGTAGAGCAATTGCATGTTTTGGATATCCATTTAACGCTTCTGAAACCTGAAACAGGCTCCTATATGTTATGCTAACATTTATGCCAATTTGAATATAGTATAAGTGAAGCAGTTGTACTATTTCTCTGGAAATCCTTGAGGAGGGTAGAGGAAACAGTCACAGGCTATTTGTGGATCTTAAGGACAAAGCTGTTAAAGGGAGAATCAAAATCTAAGCCTGATACAAGGTCCAAAAAATAAATGCAGTAAAACCAGTGGGCTGAGATGATGAGTGTTTGAAAAGCTCTGAGCCTGCTGCACCAAAAAGCTGTTAGTTGTTGCTTTACCATGTCAGGCTGATAATGTTATAAATTAGATCCCTGCACATGGCCTGAGGCAAGAACACAGCTGTTGTTCAAGACTCTGATGGGTTTCTGCATGTGTTTCTCTCCTCTCCAGGTTCTCAGCTCCCTTGGGTACCACGTGGTGACATTTGATTATCGAGGTACGTGGGCTTCTATTATTATTAAAGACTTTAGGATGTATCTTTCTGTAGAAGCAACAAAGAAGTTGCTCTTTTGTTAGGTCTCAGGGACATGTTGTTTTTTAAATGCTTGCTGCCAGCTAGTTAGATGTGGTTAATGCTTCTTTTTTCCTCATGAACTTTAAGAAATTGCTTTCCAGTTATTTCCTGTATAGCACTGCTTCCTGATGTCCAGCTCAGTGGACTCTGGTTCCTGTCTGTCCTCATGCACAGGTCTTGTTGATTTGGGAGCTAAGGAGCAGAGGGTGACTCAGGCACATATGCTGTCCCACTGTCTAGTGAAGGTATCCTACAGGTGCCCATCTGGAAACTAGTAAGCTTGCTAGATGTAGTCTTTTGGTTATGATCTAACTGATTTTCCTGGAGCCACATGGGGAACTGAACTTACATTTCTTTTTAAAAGGTGAGATAAGACAGTAAATTATTTGCTAACAATTGGTAACATCCTCAGCAGTTAAGCATCTGCTGCTCTTCTTTTCCCATCTTAGTATTTAAGCCATGACTGCAGTGTTACGCCACTGGAGATACAGGAAATAAATTAATCCATTGTATTTTTATCAAGAAGACATCTGGGAGAGGTTTATTTGTAGGAGCTTGCCCTGTTTTTCAGTCCTGCTGGCAGCTGCTTTCTCTGGCTGCTTATTAAGTATCTGAAGGGGTGTAGGAGGCTTGCTGCTTAGCAGATGTGTAGATATGCTGCAATAGCAACAGAGCCAAAACAATCAGGAGGGTGGAAAATTGCTTGAGGGCTTTGATCGAACAGCATGGACACAGTGATGTCACAACAGTTCTGTGAAATGTGCTTGGTTTTTGACCCTAAGCATTTAATTCTTGTGCTGTTAGATACTCCAGTTACAAATTGGTTACATGCATGCACAAGCAGCTCAGCTTTGGGAGCTGGGCTGTTGGAGGTGAGTTGTGCAAGAACACGGTGTGGTAGTGTCTGAGATCCAGCTCTTGCTTTTGTTTTGAGTAGATCCGTAGAAGCTGCCTGGCAGCCAGCAGCTACCTTGTTTCAATGGCTGCAAATCAATGGGGATTTTCAGCCCCAAAACGTAGAGGTGGGCAGTGAAATAAAGTGTCCGTGTCCCAGGTCCCTTTGCAGTGTCAGGTGGACTGAATGGGAAAAGCTGGCTGGCCTGCTGACCAGGTTGTGCCATTTCCAGAGGACTGTTTGTGTTTCAGGCTGGGGCGATTCAATAGGCAGCCCATCAGAGAGAGGAATGACCTACGATGCCCTTCATGTCTTCGACTGGATAAAAGCAAGAAGCGGCGACAACCCCGTCTATATATGGGGACACTCCTTGGGCACGGGGTAAGCAGCTCATCTCAGTGTGACTTAGCAGCTTTGGAAAGATGTTAAACACTGACCTTGGATGATGGTGCTTTTTGCCATAACCCCCAGGCTAGCTTGGCTTGGGGTCTGTGGCATAACTGCTGCAGGGTGGTTTCCCCTTGGTGCTTTATGGAATGAGAAGGGCTACAGTGGATGGCTATGCAGGACTTGATCCTGAACTAGTGTTGCCCAGAGGAAAAAAGACAGAATAATATATGCAGTTTGTCCTAGGGGTGGTAAAGTGGGACTGTTCTGATCTCTCCCTGTGGTGAGCCTGTACGTCCTTCGAAGCAGAAGATCTCTGATGCTCTTTCAGAGTACCACACAAGCAGTTGCATGTGCACATGCCTTGCCCTTACAAACGTGTTGCATGTCATCAGTACTTATGCAGGTACCTTCATGACTACACTGCTGGCTACCTGTGACTTCTCTCTGGTAATGCCTGGCACACGGAAGTCCAAAGTGTCAAGTGCCTTTGCCTCCATTTTTGTAACTTTTGCTTCCTCCCTTTCCATTGCTGTCTGGAGGTGGGTTGTGTTCAGCAGGCAGCAAGTGCTCTTATCCCCTTGGTTTGCAAAGGCACAGAGGCAAACACAAGAGTTACTTTTGCGTTGACCTGTGTACAGATTAAACTGTTGGAGACCACAACAGCTTGCCTTGCTGTCCCAACAAATGTGTTGCTGGGACAGGGGGATATTTCAGGGTGCTGTCTCTTCATTGCTGTGATACTAAACATCCTGCTTTGTTTGAGAAGAAAGCAGAGGCTTTTCCTTCGACTCTTCCTCTAAATTTTTGCTGTCTTCAGGAAACCTCTCTGGGTCAGAGCATGCTTGTGACATTTCCCAATGCACTCTAGTCTGAGTGGCCTGGAACTGGGGTCCTAAGCTGAGTTCCCTGGCGACCATTGCCAGCCTGGAGTTTGAGGTTTTTGAAATATGCTGCACTGGGAGGAATCAGCAACTTTGGCAATATCCCTGTCACATTAGGGAAGTGCATGGGGGAGACTTTGCTGCTTTCTGACCCAGCTATGGAAACTCCTTGCAGTGTGATGATGGAGCCCTGCACACCAGCTCTCCCTGCCCATACACCTGCATTCCTATCCTTCTTGCTTAGCCCTTGTGATCTCGGAGTAAGAGCCTTTGTCATACAGCTGCAGATATGCTGGGAGCCTGAGAGCCAGCTTAAAGAAGGCGCTTCCAAGTGGCTAAATGGTGTGGTGCTTTCTTGGACTTGTTCACTTGCCTAAATGCAGGCACCTGATGTGATTTGAGACAGTTGGGTATGGGATCTGTGGGAAGCCAAGTGGTTGTGGGCTGGCTGCCCAGGCCTCAGACAGCGTGAGGGGTTGATGTTAATGGCAGTTGAGTTGTACCTCTTCCACCTGCTATCTCTTGAGCCTGCTGCTTTGCAGAGAGCCTGTGCCAGATTAAATGTTCATTGTTGTTCTTTTCAGGGTCGCAACAAATCTAGTGAGGCGCCTTTGTGAGAGAGGTAAGTCTGGTGGGTGGATGCTCTTCCCACCCAGCTCGAGTCCTGCTGGCATCCCAGATTTCTGCATATGTTTGCAGTTGTGACAAGGCTGTCCTTGGTGTACCATGGTGATAGCTGCTTTCATAAGGCAGACCCTGACCTCGCTGGCTATCTGCACCCCTGCGTTTCAGCACATTGCCTTTGGCTTTTCAGAAACGCCTCCAGATGCCCTGATACTGGAATCTCCATTCACCAACATACGGGAGGAGGCACGGAGTCACCCTTTTTCTGTGGCAAGTACACAGTGGCTCTCACACTACTGACATGTTGTTGCATGCTTAGGAATTAAGCTAACTGCATGACTTGTGGGGCAGCAGTTTTTTATAAGCATCAGAAGTAAAGATCAACACTTAAGGCAACTCCTGGGAGCACTAAGCAGTGCCAGAGCCATGTGTGGAGTTTGCCTAAAGAAAGCAGAAACGGATCAGAAAGGGCAGTAAATGTAGGGGGGCAGATAGACACTGCTGTCAGCAGTGAACAGCCTGTTCTCGTGTTGTAGCTTCTCTGTTGCAGGAAGCTGTTTTTTGGGCTGCATGCAAACCAATAGCAAAGGTGGGCTTTGCTTGGTCACTACCCCATCCATGTGGCCCCTTTGCATTTGCCTGACTTCCCTGTAGAGTTTGCTCTGACGTGGCCATCTCTTCCACCCAGCATGACTGTGGGTTGGCTCTGAACTGAGCAGACACCCAGACTGGGTGTTGGGTGCAGCTAGGCTGGTGAGGTGCCCTGGGATAAAACTCTTCCATAAAGAGTATTGCTAGCAGCAGCATGATACCTGGAGACCTTGACCACACAAGTACCCAGAGAGCCTGCTCCTAAGCTGGCTGATGAGATGGGCCTGAAACAGGAGAAGAAAAATAATGCTGGTGGAAACATGGACCATGTCAATGCAGAGAGCACAGCTAGCAGCCAAGGGATGCCTCTGGGGTGGCAGTGGCCTGCCATTTTAGTGCTGTTTGTGTAACTGTCCTGCTGGTGCCTGCCACTAACGTGAGTTTTGCCTCTCAGATATACAGATACTTCCCTGGATTTGACTGGTTCTTCCTTGACCCCATCACGACAAGTGGAATTAAATTTGCAAACGATGAGAAGTGAGTTCCCTCTTTGCTGGAGTTTCAGCTGTGGTTGCAGTGAGCCACAGCAAGCATCGAGGAGGGTGGACATTAGAATGCACTCTGTTACTTTGTGTTGGTTTTTTTGTTGAAGCATTGTACTTGTTTAAGGGATTAATTGTTCTTAGTAAGGACAGATGCAACAAAGAGCACAGAGACTACTCGTGGATATCCTAACTGGTCCATGGGATTTATGCTTTTCAAGTGTGTGTTACACATACACAATAGCTTTGGGACATTAAAGGTTTGGGAAATTTCTCTGCTGTGCGTTTGCAGAAGCCACCCTCTGTGCAATAACATAGTCTCTTTTCACTGAGCCTTTCATTCAAGAGCCTGAGACTTTGTAAGTTTGGTTTTGAATACTGAAACCAAACCAGACCTTGGGGGATGATCCTTTGCAGTGGGAAGAGTCACTTTTCTCTGGTCTAAGCAGCAAATAGCTTTTAGAAGGATGCCTTTCAGTAGTGAGGCTTCCATAGATTGAATGAATAGTGTCTACATAATAATGTTTTCAAGATCTGAACTGCAGATAATGACCTACAGGACATGCTTGTCATCACAGTTTCCTTGCAAATCCAAGTGTACAGGTGATAGAGAGTGATGGGATTGCTCTGAGCCTTTGTGACAGTGTTCTCTCTTTCACAGTGTGAAATACATTTCCTGCTCCCTGCTTATCCTTCATGCTGAGGATGACCCGGTGGTACCATTTCATCTGGGAAAGAAGGTACACATGTGGCTCTCCAACTGGTCTGGTGGGAGGAACTGTTGGGGATAAGAATGATATCTGAGCCAGGCAAAAAGTCAGCAATAGGAAGGTGTGTGTAGAAATGCATAGCCCAAAGGGAGTACAAACTCTGATGTTGGAGGTGACAAATCAACAGTGGAGCAGAGCCAGAGATAGCAAAGCTGGTCAAGCCAGAGCCTATAACCCACCCCTGAGAGGTGGTGGTGCCCATTTGTCAGGGGCAGCTAGTTTGGAGTGACACATGTCCCTCACCTGCCTCCCCTTGAACTCAGCTCTACAACATCGCTGCGACGTCACGGAGTTTCCGAGACTACAAGGTGCAGTTTGTTCCGTTCCACACAGACCTGGGCTACAGGCACAAGTACATCTACAGGAGTCCAGAGCTACCTCGAATATTGCGGTAACAGCCCAGCTAACCAGGGTCTTCTCTCACTTGGAAGGGGTGGGGGGCTGGGACATGGATCTTCAGGGCACACGGTGACATGTGCCCAGGAGCAGGAGGGATGTGTAACAGGCACCTCCCTGTGTTACACAGCTCTTCTGAAAACCCCCGTGGTCCCCAGAGTGGGGGGGATACTGGGCTGGCTTAATGCAGTCAGAGCTCTCCACCTCCCTGCAAAGCAGGTTTTGGGAAGGGGAGCCTTAGAAAGCTGGGACCACTTCTCCCTGGCTTATCTCTGCTGTGAGCTGGAGGAGTTGTTTGCAGAGCAGATACTTCTGCTTAACTCTTCTACAGGGAGCCACTGGTGAGAGAATAGCTCAGTGCTGTTTGCTGTAGCTGTGAGTGCTCAAGCCCTAGTATTTGCAGAGGAAATGGGAAGGTCTGCAGGCTGCAGCTTGTACCAGAGTGTAGGAGAGCTGAGTGTCACTGCTGTGTTGTTTCCTTTTCTAGGGAATTCCTGGGAAAATCTGAACATGAGCATCATCACTGAAGACTGGCTGCTTGGCAGCACAGAGATTTTCCTTTCTTTCCTTCCTCTTTCTCCTTTTCCTCCCCCTTCCCTTTGGTTCAGTCTGCAATTCTTCCATCCCTGGCACTAGAGGAGGTCAGGGATTCCCACTGCAGTCCTGATGTGTACCCTCAACAACTCCAGCTCCCAGCATCAGTGTCCATGATGGTAGAAGAAAGAAGTACGTTGGCTTCTTTTTTTGGCAGGATGGAGGGGTGATAACAGCCCAGGAGCCAGTACCAAACCATGAAAAATGTAAGCACAACAAAGCCTGGCCAATCCAGCCTTTTACTGCTGAGGACAGACATTCCTAGGACATGTGTCATGACCAAGAGTGTTTCTTTCCGATTCTAAACACTGCTGCTGTTTTTTGGATCATGTAGAGACTCATTCATAGGCAAATGGCTTTTGCTGTGTCTCCATACCACAGTTGTCTTGCTTGAGTTTGAAGTGTTCTCCTTCTAGGAAATACTTGTTTTGCCTTTCCTTTTTGATAAGTGGCTATAATTACAAATGCACAGAAGATCCAGGCGGTGAGAGATTTTTATTTAGCTCTTCAGTCACAATGTATTGCAAGTGTAGAGCTAATTGCACATGTTTGGAAATAAAACGAGAGGGTTTTGTTGGGTTTTTTTAAAATTCCTTTTCAAACATCTATTTAATGGAAAAGGTTAGTGCCCTTTTCTCTTTTTTGTACCCTTTTCCTTCTGAACATAGTTTCTGCTCCCATCCCTGCTGTCCTCTGTGGAGCTCTTCCACTTCTTCACATGCACTTTCTGTTAAGACTGAAGTGACTTCTGTAGCTACATTGCAAACTTGGGAGTTTAAGCTGGAAAGAGTAAGATTACTTTTTTGCTTGGTCTCCCCCTTCCATGAACAATGTGGGCCCACAGTGCGGGAGTGGATGTCTTCCATTCTCCCTGGACACACCCAGACAGAAATGTGCTTTCTTTGGGTGGGAAGGGCAGGTTTTTTTCCTCAACTACCTTTTAACTCCTTAGGCCAGGTTTTCCTGTTCCTTGTGGCTAAGCTGTTCTGCTGTAGTTAAAAGCAGGCAGTGGTATGCAGCTCTTGATGCAAAAATAAGTCTCTCCCTCCCTTCTGTGCTCTGGGAATCCCAGGCATTTCCAGCAGCATGTTTCAGCCTATCTCACAGCCATGGTCAGAGCACATTGTCCAGGAGGCAGAAGTGAAAATGAGCCTCTTCCACGGGGAGAGGTTTGGATGCCCTTGCCCTGCCTAGGGCTAGAATCAGGACTGTTTCATGCCACTGACAAGCTCTGCACTGAGATGGGGGAGGGTCATATGCTGACTCCGGGGTTTCTGGCTGGGGACCTGGCCCCCATCAGTTTTGTCCTGCCTTAAGGGTCTGTTCAAGGATGTACAGCGTAGTAGAAACTGCTCAGCATGCATCCAGGTTATATCTGCAGGCTCATACTAGTTGCAAAGCAGACAGTAGCTTGTTCTTGTACTGAGATTCTTCTGCCATAGTGTGGTTGTCCCTGAGATTTCTGACCCATGATACTTGTAAGCTGTGCCACTTAAATTGTTTGATGCACTTGTATTTATTGCACTGACAGAAGAGAAACACTGACTTGGCTCTGGAGAGTGATGTGCACATTCCAGCTAATGCTGCTGCTGGCAGCTGGCTTGGGGCAAAGCTCAGCCAGAGGCTGCTGGCTGCCTTCCTCCTGTGTGATGGATCTGAGGGTCCAGCACATGAACTGCTGGTGTTGGTGATACCAACGCTGTCATTCCTGTTAGTAGGCCAGTGATACGCTTGGAAATTTAATCTGAAATGTTTATCTAAAAGTGGTGTTGTTTTAATAAAGGCGTTGTCTGCTGATCACTTCAGCTTCACCTGTTTTACCTGGCAGGTTTTGGGATTTTTTTTCCCCCAGTTGGGCAGGTCAGCTGGGTGTGTGGCAGGGCTGCAGTAGGGTTGTGCAGAGGAGATGAGCTTGCTGCTGGCACTGGGCAAATCATTGTGGCTGCTGCCAGTGCTGAGGGAGCAGTTATCCTGGAGCCCAGTGGTTCTGTGCCTGTAGTCCAACATCAGCCAAGGTTCTGCTTCTCTACTGGAGATGGGGGAAATGGGAGCTGCCCATGGGATTTCTAGCACAGGAGCCATGTGTGCCATTTGCAGGGCAAACCCAACACTATAACCCCCACCCCAGCGCGTACAGTCAATATGCCAGGGGTGCAGGTAAATGGCTTTGGCCCTAGCTACCCATTGCAGCCTTAGTACCAGCACCCTCCTGCACACCCTATTTACTGGCAAGACTGACCTTTCTGCCATGGGTGTGTTGCTTCTAGGACAGTGCCAGCACCCTGCCAGATGCAGGGGCCCAGATCCCATGAAACCACAGCTGGGGAAGGCCAGGATGCCTTCAGATGGCATGGCCTGAACTTGTTGCAACCTGAAACCCCAGATGTGAGGAAGTCACCAGTCAACCCAAAGTCAAACCAGTATGTGTTCTTGTTTTAATGAGTTGGTGTCACACAGGGGAGTACTGGTGCACTACACAGCACTATGGGTGTTAAAACTCTGACCCCAGCAATGGGAGGGACACAGAGACAGCAGTGTGACCCAGCTGTGGAAGGACACAAAGGATGTGACATATGTTCACCCCTTGGGTTGCACCCAGCATACAGCTGTGTCTGGAGAGCCAAGAGCATGCTTGGGGCCCATTGGCCCAGCAGTCAGCCACTCAGATGGCAGTGGCAGGTACAACCCTCTCTATGCAGACATGGAGGTTAAACATGACTAGAGTGGCTTGGTTTCAGGGCTTTTGGTTAACAGAGTGGTAGAAGGTGGCTACAGCAAGCTCTGTGGCAAGGAAGTTGCTGATCTCAGGCTCTCTTCTTCTCCATGTGGCATATAGCATTTGACATTGGTGCTTGCACTGGGGCCAGCTGCTTTACCAGCCAACCCCAACTTCTCTAGGTATTATTGGGGAATGTGGGGGACCAGAGGAGCAGATGGTGGCCCCTCCTTCCCCTAGCTTTGGGGCTGGCAGACCCACTGGAGAAGGAGGCAAGACACTCTATGTTGGCTAAACCTGCTTGTGGGGCAGGGTGAAGGAGGCCAGATCAGGCTTCATGCAGGGGGAGAGAGGAGGATTTAGTGGGAAAGCCCTTGTTAAGCATGGAGCACAGCTGTGGAAGACTTCTCTGTCATCATCTCACTAAAAGCACTATGCAGCACATGCAGGCTGGATACATGGGTACAAACACAGGGTCCTTTCTCCACCCTAGCTCCTGTTCCTCAGTCAGGGCTCCTCAGAGTATCCTTCCAAGCCCCTCCACTGCGGAAAGGCCTTGTTTGTGCAGAGCCAAGCCCATCTGATTGGTGGTGAAATGCAGGTGAGGCCTCCTGGACTGGGAACCCATCCCTCTTCCCTTCCTTTCCTCTGTGCTTGCATCAATCCCGGGGGAGGTTGGGTGGGGGGATTTTTGTGTCAGATGGCTCCACATCCCAGATCTCCCGGGCATACTCCGTGATGGTCCTGTCACTGGAGAACTTGCCCGAGCATGCAATGTTCCTGATGACTTTCTTAGTCCACTCCCGGGGGTCCTGGGAAGAGGAGACACGTGGTGCCTGTGAGAAGGGCTCCACAGGAGCACGCTCATCCCAGCTCCCTGCAGTCTCCCTGCTGCATCACGGTGGCCAAAGATCCCATCCCTCCCCTGTGGTGGTGGGCAGCTCTTACCATGAACAGCTGGTCCACTTGGCCTTGGCATTTAATGTAGGCCTCATAGTCAGCAAACACCTTAAACCTGAAACCCAAAGCAGAGTAAGGTGAGGGTGCACCTGCTGTAGGGTACCAGCTTGGCAGGACAGGGCAGCACAGACATCTTCAGGCAGGCAGGGCTTAGCCCTTGGGCAGGAGCAGCCCACCAGAGGGGATGCTGGCCAGGCCTCACCTGTCATGGTACATGAGCATGTTCACAACATCCTTGAAGCAACCAGGGTCTTGAGGGGAGAAGAACCCACTGCTGATCTGGTCGATAGCCTGTCGTAGCTCTGGCAGGCGGTCATAGTACTCCTGCGCCTTGTACCTGCACCCAGCAGAGACAGGCTGTAGGGGCTGGTGCTCTCCCCTGAGGCCCAGCACCTGGAGAGCAGGATCTGACATGTCTGGGGCAGGGAGAGCAGGATCTGACATGTCTGGGGCAGGGAGAGCAGGAAAGGATGTCATATGGCTCCTAAGTGAGGGGCCATGACCCATCAGAGCACCTTGCTAGTGGCTCTGAGACCTGAAATACTTTGTGCCCAGGCTCACACACCACTCACAGCCACTGTGCTCTGGGTGAGCTGCTTGGCTGCATCCACGGTGATGCATCCACTGATCAGCCCAGGACAGAGGCTGCCTCCAGCCCCCTGCTTTTTCCTGCTCCAGAGCTGCCTAGGGAGGAAGGTGTCCCTCCCAGAGATCATGGCTCTCTCTACCAGAGCCGAGACCTGTATCCCCATCTGACAAGTCCTGGCATGCACTGGGCTCTCCCCAGCACCAACCCTTGGCGATCCAGGGCCTCCACATCCTCCACCCGCATGCCAAAGATGAAGAGGTTTTCCTCGCCGGCCTCCTCAGCCATCTCCACGTTGGCCCCATCCATAGTACCAATGGTGAGGGCCCCGTTCACCATGAACTTCATGTTGCCAGTACCAGAGGCCTCTGTGCCAGCTGTGGAGATCTGCTGGGAGAGATCTGCTGCTGGGATCACTGCCGGGTGCAAGAGAGGTAGAAATTAATCCTTGGCATGCTGCAGCTCCAATCCATGACTTGTGCCCAGGCACAACAACCCTGAGCATCTGCTAGTGGCTCTGCTGACCTCAACCTCAGCCCAAACAGGTGGCTCTGTGGCCACAGCCAGGCTCAGCCCTGCTTCAACCTCATGCAGCAGTGACAGTACTGCTGCATGAAGTTGTCTTCCTGCCCTGTACAGACCCCTCAGACCCTTCCTAAGGGAGAGAGAGCCTGGTGACCTGCCATGACAGCCTCTCAGGCCAGCCAGTTTCTGGGCTTGGCTGGGACATGCCCAGCTCCTGCTACGTGCTTACACGAGACCAGACATACCCTTCTCAGCCAAGGATACTCGGTAGTTCTCCAGGAAGATGACCTTGAGCCTGTCCCCCACATAAGGATCATTGTTGATGACCTCACCGATGGACGTGATTAGTTTGATGATCATCTTGGCCATGTGGTAGCCAGGGGCTGCCTGGAGAAAAGCAGCCCAGAAATGTGAAGGCTTTTAAGGATGGGAGAGCATGACGTGTCAGTGTGGGTCCTCACCATGGGGAGAATCTGGGCCCCTGCACCTCTGCTGTTCACATAGATCAGCAAAAAGACCCTACTGGGAGAAGCCCTGAGCCACAGGGAAAGGTAATGGGGCCCTGTTCAGTCTGATGAGTTTGTTAAGGTATTTCCTGAAGAGCCCACCAACAGACACATGCTGGGTAGCCTATGGCAGGCCTGGCAAAGCCACAAAAAGGGGACAGCACCTTTCCCACATTCCCCACAAGCCATGCATGCATCAAGTCTGGAATGCACGTTACCTTTCCTCCGATCATAATAGTCCTGGGCACAAAGGATTTGGATGGATCACTTCTGATGCCTGAAAGAGCAGGGCATAACACAACTGAAGTGAAGATGAACTGGACAGAGTTTACAGCTTGCATCAGGGGTGGGCTGGGGTGCCAGCCCATGTCACATGGACCCAGCAAACCTGCAGGACCTGGAGCCCAACCAGACACCTGCCAGAGTTATGCTGGGAGAAAAGAGGCTACAAAGTCCTTGGAGAACTACTCAAATCAGCACAATGCAGAGCTCTGATGACTCGCCTCCCTTTAGGAAAAGGCCCAAAGCCTACACTTGGGAGTGGGGTTTTAACTTGTACCAGGTCAGTCCTCACACCTGCAGTACAGGTGTGGGGGTTACCTGGGCCCTGGGACCCAGCTGGGCTGGAGACCTGGGCTGTGAGCTTTTCCTCAGAGCTCTGCACAACCCTTCAGACACTCTCTTTTCCTTCCTGGGAAGAAGCTGTTTGTGACAGGTAGGCAGAGCTAGGCTCAGGAGACCCTGGCCACCAGCTGCCATACTTTTACATGGGAAACCTGGAAGTGAGAGGCTGGGGGGACAGCTCCTGCCTACCAGCCCAGGCAGGACTTACGGTTGTAGAGGGTGATGGCGTGCAGGCAGTTCAGCAGCTGCCGCTTGTACTCATGGATTCGCTTGACCTGAACGTCGAACATAGATGAGGGGTTGATCTTGACCTTGTACTGCTCCTCCAGGTAGGCTGCAAACTTCAGCTTGTTCTCCTGGCAAGACAATCTGATGAGGAACAAGCGTGGGTTCCCAGGATTTGTGTCAGAAGCAAGCGTTTGCTCCTGCGTGGTGTTCCTGGAAGCAGGGTGCCTTCAGCCTTCCTCCCCCCCACCCGCTCCACCTCCAGTTCACATTACCTGTTTGACTTTTGCCACATCCCTGATAAAAGCCTCATTATTGATGAAGTCCAGTAGCTTCTTCAGCTGGCTCAGATCTGTGATAAAGCCTTCCCCAATTTTCTAAAAGGACAAAGCAAGAGAGCAATGTCCTACCATGAGGTACCTCACCCAGTCCAAAACTCTGCCTACCCAACAGAGACGCCACAGTTCAACTTGGAATTGGAAGAGGCAATTTGGACAGAAAAACGGGCACAGTTTTTTATGGCAAGGTTACTTCTCTGTGTCATCAGGGAGCCCAAGGGTGCAGGGGAAGCAGGGCACTTGCAAAAAACCTGAACAAGTTCCTCTCTCTCAAGGAGCTTTAGAAGGAGGATGGGTGCACTTGTACCAGGGCCTTCTGGCACCTGGAGAAAAAGATGGGCAGGACATAGAGAGACATTTAATTGCAGGACATGATTCAGCTATGATATATCACAGTGTGAAGAAAAACCTGTGCTAAAGACCTTGCTCAACAGAGGAGACAGAAGTGGGGCTGGAGCTCCAAAGCAGCTCTTGTGTGCCTGTGAGGCAGAGCACTTTGGCAGACACCCCATTTCACACACTCTGGTGCTGCCTGGCAGGTTGTGTGTAGCCACTGCAAGGCCAGGGAACCAGATCCAGATTTCTGCAACGTTTTGGGCCAAATCTTCATCACCAACTTTCAAGTTGCACCTACATGTCCAACAGGCACGCTCCTCCCAGCTGTCCTCACTCGGTCCCACCAGGTGTTGGCCTCAGGTGTGATCAGACCACCAAAAGAGGTGATCGGAAGCAAGTGGATCCCACTCAGCCCCTCACTTCTGATGCTTGCAACTCACCTCAGCAATCACGTCGGCCAGTCCTGGGTTGCACAGCAGGAGCCAGCGCCTTGGCGTGATCCCGTTTGTCTTGTTCTGAAACTTCTCAGGCTCCAGCTCATAGAAATCCTTGAACCTGGAATACCAGGCAGCTCTAAACCAGCTCCCACACCCCAGAGCTGGCCCCCCCACTGTATGTACTCCTGCCTCAGTGCAGTCTTTGCAGTTCTCCCTGTAAGAAGCATGAACTCTCTCTGCTGCCTCTCGCCCCTTTCCTCAGCCATGAGGTGGAGGCGGCTCACGCAGCTCAAGAGGCAGGTGATGAGATGATCTCCCCAGCCTGCTGCGACCCCAGAACAGCTGACAGCTTTGACAGCTGACCCCCCCCAGCCAGCCCCCCAGGCAAAGCCCAGAGAGCGGGCGCGTCCCCGACTCACACGGAGTTCCTCACGATGTCCGAGTGGATGCGGGCCACGCCGTTGAC